GTTCTGTCATGGTCCTGGACTGAGCCCTTCATCAGTGGGACGCTAAAATAATGACTGGAGTGGGAAGAATCAGAATAGGAGCTGTATGGGAAATTATAAGGGACATTCTGCTTCTGCACGCTCACAACATGCCTGGTTCTGTGACATCTGCTTGGCCTGGTCACGAGGTATGCAGGAGGGGGCAACACGCCGTCCCTGCGGGGCACCCAGCTCCCGGGGGCGGTGCTGGGACTTGAACCTACATCAGGCTGACTCCAAGATCAGTGCTGCTAACTGCCACCACTGCTCTTCCTCCCTGGGCATGTAGTTGGGCCGTGGGGTGTCCCATTCTGTTGCTTCTCCCTTGGTGACATGGCATCAGAGGGACTGTGTCCTGCCATGATCATCAAGCCAGTCAGTGGCCAAGATGCTGAGTCCTTGGCCTCGTCGCTTGTAAAAGGGTCTCGGGATAGACTGTGCAGTCCTCGCTCTATAAACCTGAAAACCGAGATGATACAGTAGGGCAACTTCCAGATAATAGTGTTTACCCCCGGAAGATACGTGGATGAACGTTTTCCCTAATTCCCAGCATTCTCTTTGTTAGCTTTCCCTCTGAAGCCCCCCGCCCCGTTCCCTGTTCTATCGAAGGGAGTTAACTATTCCAATTGGAAAATGTTGCCAGGAGGATGAGGCGAGGCATGTACGTGAAGGCACCCAGCCCAGTGCCTGGCATGAGGTCTCCCCACTCCACCCGGCCCCTGCTGGGGAACTAGAATCTCCTTTCACTCTGCAATCACCAGAGCCTCGCTGGTTCCTGTCATCTGTCACTTTCAGGCTAATCAGACGCTGCGGTGCCCCTGGGCCACTTCTCCTTCAGCAGGTGACTTGCTCTTTCCCTTTAACCACAGGTTACCTGTCCCCTCGGCCCCAACTGCCCATTCTCATTACAGGAGGCTTTGCTGTGGCTTTTCCTCCTCACACCCCCACATTTCCTCCTTCCTGAGTCTGGACAACAGAAGTGAAAAGCAGCTCTTTGCAATGTAGGGAACCCTTCTCCCTAAAGCTGTCCCTGGTCGGGAGCCTCTCTTCTCTCTGGATGCTGCTTCATACCGTCCTGTAGCAGCTGAGGAGCCAGAGTCTGGGGTGACTTCATTTCTGTTCACCGCGTTCCTGTTGAGCTATGACTGTCGAAGATACAGTCGGTGTGCGACTCGAATGCGCTGTTAACGTCACATGTACTCTGTGAACCACACATTGTCTATAGGAGATCAGAAATCCTTTTTCTCTCTCCCACCCCCACCACCACCTCCCATAAATTCCCAATCACCACCGATCCCTTCTTATATCTGTTTTCTTCCAGGGCAGAGACTAGTGGGATGCCTGGTATAATAAAGACCGCATGAGTCTGATTGGCAAACACGCACATGGGCAGAAATGGAGTCATAGACGCTCTGCAGTTTATACCAAAAAGATCCAGAGGTTTTATTGGAGTAGATTCAGCACTTGATTTGGTCAACATGTGCTCAACTACTATCTACTCCAGGTCAAAAATCATCCTACAAAATGGGCACAAATTGATGAGCTTCGGCCCTGATTTTCGGCCCTAACACAGTCGTGTTAGGAAGACAGGCTCGTATCAGATGCTTCAAATATTTTGTGCAAACTGGAGAGAGAAGGGACATGCAGGCCTCCGGTGAGCCCAGAACAAGCCCGGGGAAGGTTCTAACAAAGAAGGCATGCTTAGGTGGGGTCTTGAGGGATGAATAGGAGTTCGGAGTGTAGGTAAGGAAGAAATGGAGATTCTACAAAGGGAAACAGCCTGGATAAAGAGTCAGGCTAAGGCATGAACATCACATCGCATATTCAGAGATTTACAGAACTTTCCCCTCTTCCGGGTAGAGGGAAAAGTAAGCTGGGCAAGAGACAGTTGGGAAAGGTGGGCTAGTGTGTGATCACAGCTAAAGTCAGGGAATGGCAGGGGACGAGTTTGCCTTGGGAAAGCATATGGAATGAGGACAGAGCTCAAGCAGAACCCTAACAAAGAGTAACTTTTTAAAAGTTGGAGGAGGGACCAGAAAGGACATCTGCAAGGAAGAGGGGCTGGCCAGGGTAGGGAGGGTGGCAGAGCATGTCAGCCAGGCACGATCAGGTGTCCCAGAGAAGCAGGAAAAGTTGAGACCAGGGAGTCCACATCGGGCGGGGCAGCTAAGGAGCCAGGCACCTTAGTTTCTCTGGTATAGCCTTTGTTTTTAAGTCCTGTACACCACACAGTTTCCCCCAAACTGTTCAGAGGGTTGCCGTAGGACACTTTGGCAGGAACTGGGAAGGGTCTACACACAGTAAGTGCTCAATAATTGCAGTTTCATGAGAATCCCCACTGTAATTTGCTGCTCCGTTCCCGTCTACCACGGCATCGCCGTTTTATTTCCTCACCTTCCCATAGGCAGGCAATCTTTTAAAACTGCAAATAGGATCTTTCCACATCTCTCCTTTAAAATCCTCCTGGATCAAGTCGAGCTCATGTAGGCCCTCCCACCCCCACCCCGGGCAGTGGCCTGGCAGCCCTTTTGTGCCTGGTGCCACACCCTCTCCTGGCCTTCAGGCTCCGGCCACCCTAGCCCCCTGCCAGGTCCTCCCTTCACCAGATTCCCTGCCATGTAGGAGACTCACTGCGGAGCCTGGAGCCCTGCTCCCCGTCCTCCCTCCCGGGAGTCCTCCGTTCTCCCCAGACACATGCGTGATTCTCTTTGTAAGCAGGTGTTCCCTTAACTTTGTGGGTATTTTCCTGCCCCCCCCCCCCCCCGCTGCAGGGTGAGCTCTGTGCACACAGGGGTCCTGCCTGTTCAGCACTACCCACCCCCCACACCAGGCCCCATCTGCATATTCTCCTGTCAGACTCTCAGCCTCTCTTTAACCACTGAATGGCTGCACTGACCCTCTTTTCTCTTCTGGCTTCTGCTTGGCTCTTTGCCATCCAGGTCTGCCTGTCTTCCAAAGTTCTGCTAACACCCACCTCCTCCTCGAGCCTTCCTGAATGCCTCCAGCCAAAAGAGACCGCCTGAGCTCAGCATCCCCCGAGGCCTGGCACATGGCGGACACCCTCTGCGGGGTCACCTGTCATCATTTTAGCTCCGCTCAACCGCAGCCACAGTCCATAATTCATTCTTCTGTGTGCTCAGCTTCACTGACTCAGTGCTGTGGTCAGAGGCGTTGATCAACTGTGTAAAACCCTCCTGCAGCTGCTCCTTACCCTCTCAGGGTCGCAAACCTGGCCGGCCTTCAGCGTCACTCCTGGAGCTGTTAAAGATAGATTCCTGGCCGCACCCCAGGCCCCCTGATCCGGGCTCCCCGGGCTCATGGCTGTGACTCTGTATTGTTAGTGAGTGCCCCGCAGCCCTGATGCCTTCGTTTGTGCTGTGATGGGCAAAACAGAGTTAGGAACTCTCATCTGAGGGGATGAAGTCTTGGAGCATGGCAGTGGTGGGGGTCCCTTCCAACCTAGCCCCAACATTTCCAGCCTCACTTCCATACATACCCTGACCCTCTGCCGGAGGGTTGGCTTTCCCTGATCACCCAGTGAGTTCCTTTTACTCCATCAGTACCCGTGTCCTCTTCTTACAAGGTGTCACTAGAACCCCGGCCTCTTTCTCAGAGGCTTGTGCTCCCTCGCATCCAGGCACCTGCCCTGTTGCATCTGGTGCTTTGTTTCTACACCTCGATCCCCTGTAACCCGGGCACTCCTTCAGCGAGTGAACCTCTGCATCCTTCGTTAGCCTCAGTAAGAGCAGACACTCAGATCCGCTCCACACATGTCAGAGTCTCCCTGCACTTAGGTCTGCTGGTTCCCACCCCGTCTTCCGCCAGCCCTGGGTCTAGCCAGTGCTCAGCAAAGCCCTCTACCCACCGGGTTGAGCCAGGCCGTTCCATGGCACAGATGTTCGCCTCGGTATTCATGCTACAGCAAGCAAACCAAATGCCTTTACAACCTTTGGTGCTCGTCTTGTCACCAAGAGACCCTGTGGGAACAGGTCTTGCCTAGAGAACCTTCCCTCCCGGGAGCCTGTGCATTCAGGCGTCATTCCTAGAAGGTCATGCATTTGTTGTGTGAAAAAGGCAACATGTACAACATAAAACTGTGTCATAAATGCTCCCTTCCTCGATCTTTTCCCTTTCGGAAATGACTGAGTGCGGCCAAAACTCGGGCTACTGAACTCATTCAAGCCAATCCCTAGGCCTACCAGTAAGATGCCTTATTGTTGTTTTTTCTCCCAGACCTGTTGGGTTTGAAATATATTTCTTATCATCTTAATCTTTTTTTGCATTTGCTAAAGGCAGCTAATGACCACACCAAATGGATTATTTACTCTGCTTGAATACTCACTTGGGCTCTGTGGGCACCTTGAGCTTTAATGGCCAACACCTGTGTCATAAAAAGCCAGTGCTGGATCAATTGAGATGATTTCCTGAGCACCTACTGTGTACTCCTGCCCGAGGGCGAACACGCAGACCCAGCAGTTCGGGAGAGCAGGTCATTCTGAGTCTCAGTGGTTGTATGTTTTCTTGGACTCACGTGGTAGTAATAATACTCTAGACCTTCATTCACAAAGTGCTCCTTGCCCATACTCTGCCCTATGGGACAGGAATGAAAGCCATTGGATGGACAACGGAAGCAAGATGGCGGAACATGCCCAGGCTTCTGGTCAGGGTCAAGTGATTTGTTTCTGCGGGTGTATTTTGCACAGTGAGCAGAGATCTAGACAAAGTTGCTCATGCATGCCATAAGGCTTGGGAAACCTTTTCCTCCACTTGGATATTCTTGGAATTGAAGAAGGTGGTTGCTGATGTCTGGAAACTTCTGAATTCCTTGGGGGGCTTTGAGCTGTTGGGGGGGCCTGCTCCAGGGGGAGCCCCCTCCTCCTGCTCTGTGCTGCTGCAGGCTAGTGGTGGCGCGGGTGCTTTCTGAGCCTTGGGGAGTGCTCTGTGCGCCCTGTAACCTCCTCTCTCCTCCGTCTCTTTCTTAGGCACATCTCACTAACGCTCCCTGCTACCTTCCGAGGCAGGAACAGCACTCGGGCTGACTATGAGTACCAGCACTCCAATCTGTATGCCATATCAGGTACGTGGGGCCTCTGCTTATGGCCAGCTACAGTGTCTGTGTCCCAGGCACCACCTCCCTCTGCGTGTCTCCTGGCTTTGAATGGCATCTGTCTTACCTGTCTTTTCACCCTGCGAGGAGCCTGTCCCCTGCAGAGATCAGCCCTTTCCTTCCTTTGTGTCACCTCAGCACTTAGAGAAGGGCCAGACAAGACACTCTGTGCATTTGGAAACTAATGATGAAAAACAATGTGTGGATTTCACGAGCTTGAAGGGAGGTTTCCAGAGAATACTCTGCATTGTTCACCTGCCAGAGCCAGGGCAGGTTTCCCATGGGGTCTCGGGAGCGGCACAGAGCTGAGGCCCAGTCCACTCACCAGCCTGTGTCCAGGTCTGTTCTCGCCTCTCATTTCCCAAAGCTAGGTTTGCGGCTAGAAGGGACGCTGGCTGTCTCCCTTCCCACCCCCATCATAAGGGTCTGTGATTTCTGAACTCGGCCTTGAAGTGGATGGTGGTACTTTGGCCAGAACCTCAGCAGTGCGAGTTTGCCTCTCCACCTTCACCACGGAGGGGAACACTTACAGGCCTGATGGCAGAGTGGAGATTCACGGGGTGCCTGGCAGCACAGGTGACGCGCTAAGAGCCCAGGAAACCCGTAAGCTCACCTCCCATGATCCTAGGCCTCCGGTCAGGGGCGTTTGTATTTAAGGGGGAAGTGGCAAATCGGTACCACTTACCAGCGCATGGCCTTAATGGTGAGTGACGTTTTGAACACGGGAACATGGCACTCATTCATGGACCATAATGAATCCGTTATTTAAAAGGTAATCTTTTTTCTAAAAATTGCAACTTGGGGTTACTAAATAGATGAAATAGAACAATGGTATAATTCATGTCAGTATCAGTTTCTCTTGTTATGATCACTCCCTAATAGGTTTGGAAGTATAAGCAAAAGCCAGGTGTTCCATTTCTGGGTGGGGGGAAAAGGAAGACCCGGGATGTCCTTAAAGCCCAGGCGCCTGGCCTACCTTCAGGAGCCCGGCTCCTGAAGGGGCAGAGGGAGCGCGTCGTCTCAGAAAAGCACCTCCAGAGAGAATTTCTTTTGTGCTGTGGCTATTTCAGCGAAGTCAATAAGGAGCATAACAAGTGTGGAAAGATGACCTATTTTGTAGAAAAGCTATTTCCCCAGATGCTTCGTGGCAGAGTGGTGCAAAACAGGTCTGTGAGACCCAGCAGGGCGGCCCCGTTCCGAACGCACAGGAAGAAACCTCAGTCAAAGCCGATGCTTCTTTCCTCCCACTCGCAAACCTTTTTCCAGCCATGGTGTTCGGCTCGCCCCCCCTTACCTGGGTTCTCTGATGCCTTTCCCAGCTGTTGACATTTCTGCAGAAAAGGACCCACAGAGCGAAACCTCCTCTGGTTTGGCAGGAATGTTCCTGTCTGCCTCTGGACCGCTGCTCCCTCACCCTGCAGCTTTGATGAGGTGTTGTCTGGGCTCATTTCAGCCGTGAGTTTAGCAACACCAAGGTAACAGCCTCAAGACACAGGGGAAGCCATTCAGAAACTTCCTGTTACGTTTATGTAAGTGGCAGTCGGTGGGATTTTATCTTCCAAACAGTGGTAGCGGAGGCTGCTCCCTCCTGTGTCCCCCCCCCACCCCAGCAGCAGGCAGCCCCCAGCACCTCCGTGGTCGCCGGCACCAAATTGCTCCACCAGGGTCCGAAGCTGCTTCGTGGGAAGGCTGCCAGAAAGAGCCCGCAGGACCCGCCAGCTCCATAACGCCTGCAAACTCAGCACTGAACGACCGTGGTGCAGCCGGGAAGCCTGCCCGCCCCCCACCGGCTGCCTGCCTGCGAGCCGTGCTGGTGGAAGGGAACAGAGACCACCTACCCCCCCCCCCAACCCCGTCCCTGCCATGAATAGCGTTTGGCACAGAATGGCTCGTCTCGGTTTGGGATTGCAGAGTTAAGGTTTCAGGGGTTGATTCCAAAAACAGTCAAGGCAAAAGTGTGCCCCAGGCCCTCGCCCTTGCCCGGTGCCCGACGTACGGTGGCTGGAGCTCAGCCAATAAGGAAACGAAGCCTCAGACTGTTCCAAACCGGCCCTGGTGCCTGGCTGCCACAGGCTTCGGGGGTCCGCCTTCCGTGCAGACTGCTGGTGCGCTCTGGTGCGTTCCTGAAAACGTGTAGCGAGGGCTCCCTTCACGTGCGGGCCCTCCCAAATATAAGTAGGTTTCTAGGCAAAGTAAACTGAAAAGCGAGCAGCCCACACTTAACTTGTGTGTGTGTTTGTTAAAGTCATACTAACTTTTCAGCGTCTTCTCAAAGGCATGCCCGTTATCCAGCCCCTCTCCTGTCCCTCGCACAGAGGCCGTTGGTGTCTGTCAGGGGTGCAGAGGGAGGGACAGCACTCAGAGTTGCTGGAGTAAGGGGAGGGGACTCTACGGAACTGTGGCCCCAGCGCGCAGAGCCGCACATGAGCTGTTTATGGGAAGGAGAGCCTTTAGCCCAGGAACGCCCCCTGTGACCTCTGCGGTAGGTGATCTGACCTGCTTCTCAAATGCATCCCGGCCTATGGGACTCCACCTCCGCCCAGCCTGTTCCACCTCTGCAAGGTCCTCCCCTGCTCAGCTGAGCTCGTGTTCATACCCACCCAGCCATTTGGGCTGCAGATGCGTTCCACCGGCCAAGGTGTGCCAGCTACCAGCTGCTCAGCCAGTAGTTCTCTCTCGCCCACAGATGTGGGGTGAGGGGCTTCTGCTAACTCAGTGCCAAAATCCTGAGAAGCGCATGTCCCTTGCCTTGCCACCTCGTACCCTCATCACAGGGCCACAGGGCCTGCCTTTGATCCTCATGCGTCCGCCGATAAGAATTTCTTCTGGAAAATACTCACGGGTGTACAGGAAGGTTTATCCACAGGGAAGAGCGCTGCTGCTTCTTAAAAATAATACTCAGGGAAAGGGCTTGGGGGTGGGGGCTCCTAAATGTCCCAGACAAAAAGCAAAGGGTTAAATTGTGGAACATTCTTAAAAGATTTGATGCCTGAACTCTTAAGGCATCAAAAATGATTTGGATAAAAAGGTGTGGGTGAATGTTGTTAGGTGACAACCAGAACGTGCAACGTGATCACATTTTAAAAAATATCCAGGAACACCTGCGCAGCTCAGTCAGGGAAGCATCCGACCGATTCTTGATTTCTGCTTAGGTTGTGATCTCAGGATCACGGGATCGAGCCCCACATCAGGCTCTGTGCTCCGCATGGAGTCTGCTTAAGATTTTCTCTCTCCCTCTGCTCTTCCCCTGCTTGCACACATGCTCTCTCTCTGCCCCCCCACCCCTAAAGAAGAAATCGAAATGTCTGGAAAGGCACCCCCGAAGGTGTTTACAGTGGTTTTCACCAGTCTTTCCTGCTCTTTTCTTTCCCCTTCTTTGCAGTGTCTCATTTCTCTATGCTGGCAGGTGTTACTTTTATAATAAAAAGTTTGGGCATGTAGTCAGTCAGTTACGTGCCCAACTCTTGGTTTTGGCTGAGGTCACGATCCTTGGGGTCCTGGGATCGAGCCCTGTGTCGGGCTCCACACTCAGCATAGAGTCTGCTCCAAGGAGTCTCTCCCACCCTCCCCCTGCTCTCCCTCAAACAAATACGTAAGTCTTAAAAAAAAAAAAAAAAAGAAAAAGAAAGAAAGAAAAGAAAAGAAAAGAAAAAAGTTTAGACCCTAAGTTCATTTGGCGTGCTCTTAGTAAGCCATGCTGGTTCCTGCGATCACCTTGCCTTTTCTCAGTGCTCCCAAGCCTCCTGACTCCTCTTCTGAATTCTGTTGGAAATCACCTCCAGACCACAGATCGATAATTTTCTTAATGTCCTTTTTGAAAATATGGGATTTTTTTTCCCCTGTTGTCCAGTTGTTGGTACTCCTCCTGTCCACTGCTGTCCCCCAAAGACCACCGACCACCAGTCTAACACCACTGGTGGTACAGACGCCGATGGGGTGTGGGAGCCTGGCTGCTTGGGCCATCTCCTCACCTGTCTTGCTCCTCACACCCCACATCATCATCTCGTTCTTTTCGTTAGGCTTGAGGATGGTTTTTTTGAAAGAGGAGATAGAAATCGAGTGGTAGGTGCCTGGTTTGGCTCACTATGATCCATGTGTGTTAGAGTTGGCAAGCCACTTTTTTTTTTTTTAATCTTTGTGTCTGATAAATGGGAGCTCATGGGTTCACGCTTTCCTGGCAACATTCGAACTGGCTTGTCCCCCTTAAAACCTTACCTCCTGGGAGGTGCCTCCTTGGGCCATGTTGATTTTCTAGATTCTACCCCAAAGCCCTACTCCTGCGAGCCCTTGTCAGGCTTCTTGGAGCTGTTCATTTTCTTCCTAAGAATGTCCCATTGGGGAGGGTATGTGCTATGGTGAGTGCTATGAAATGTATAAGCCTGATGATTCACAGACCTGTACCCCTGGGGCACATAATACATTACATGTTAATTAAAAAAAAAAAAAAAAGAATATCTTCTCTGTTCTGGGGAAGCCTGGGTGGCTCAGTTGGTTAAGCAGCCAACTCTTGATTTCGGTTCAGGTCATGATCTCAGGGTCATGAGATCGAGCCCCATGTCGGGCTCTGCACTCCGTGCAGATTCTGTTTGAGAATCTCTCCCTCTGCCCCTCCCCCCACACACGCTCTCTCTCCCTGTCTCTTTCTCTCTCTCTCTCTCTCTCAAATAAATAAAATAAATCTTAAACATATATATTTTTTCTGTCCTGGAAAGTGTTCTGCTTTAGTCCTGAATGATAGCCTCCTATACTTTCTGTTCCCCCTAGAATTATTTTAGATGTCTAGATGTCTGACCATTTATTTCCAGGCCAGCCGGTCCAGAAAGATACAAGGCAGCTCCAAAAATACATGTAACCAAATGAAAATGGAAGTGAAAAAGTAAGAGTGAGCAAAAATAAAGGATAGAAAAGGAGGGTGCAGCTGTGGGTGAGGTTTTGCACAAAGGGGATTCTGGATTTGGTTCCAAATCAGG